ATAAAGACATTAATCAATATTATGCTTGCACAGGCACAGGAGGTTTTTTTAGAGAAGCAAATGTCTGATGGTGGGAAGAAGCCCAGTATGCTAGCTAAAATGGCTGCACAGGCAGCTTTATTGTATACACAATCAGTAGAGGGCGTTCAAGAGAATGCAAATAAGGGTGTATTTGAGAAAGTGTGGCTGCTAGTCTGCCAGGTATGTGTATGAGTGCACCTAAAAGTTAGAAACATGCAGGCTCATAATGATTGAACTTAGGTCAAACAATTCTACATGAGCTCCTTATCACAATTTCTCCAGGGGCAGGGCGACAAGAGCACCGGGTCGCATGGTGCAGCAATATCACGACTCATCATTGCCGAGCGGGAGGCCAAAGAGGCTCTACGCGCAGCAAACGCATTTCCTCACAATCCTCCAGCAAATTCCAACCTATCTGCGGAGACCGGTACTGTTCTTGTAGAAATTGTGAAGCGGCACTTGTCAATAGTTCAAGAAAAGCTCAATGAATTCATCAAGGAGAATGATTTCATTTACCATCAGGGCGTACCTAACGAGGCCGCTCTTCCAGTGATACCGAAAATGGCTGCTGCGAAAGCCATTCCAGTTCAGGAGCTCTACGCTGGACAGGATATGCAGAGGATTATTGGTCCTGACATCTTTTCAAAAATTGTCCCAATGTCTGTCACTGAATCTGCTTCGCTATATGACGAAGAAAAAGCGAAACTGGTTCGGGCAGAAACAGAAAAGGCTGATCTAGCAAATGCTGAGATGGTGGCTGCATTAGACTACCTGAAGCTTCCTGGGGCAATCAAGTTACTGAAACAGAGTCTGGAGAACAAGGAGCTTGAACTCGATGAGGAATTTCGGCAATGGTGCGAGGAAATGTCTATGGAGTGCCCAGAGGGTCTGGATAGGATTTTTGATGGGCTTAAGCAGCAAAAGAAACGAATCGCCGAAATTCTAGATATCAGCTCTAGAAATCTAGACACCGAGGAAAGTGTATGCGAGAAGATGCGAGCCAAGTATCTAGACTCCTGGAGCCAACAGCCAAGCGCAAGACTAACAATTACTCTACGGGACGATATCCGGAACTATCGGGAAGCCATCGATGCTGCTGTGGGTAGTGATAACCAACTCTTTAACCAGTACAGAGGAGTTAGGGATGATATTGAGGCAATGAGACTAGCTGGTTTGAATGGGCCTGACGATGAGGAAGACCTGTTCCGAAGTGCCATCGACCGGGTGAGGGTGAGCAGTGGGGCGAGCAGTTCGGGACCTGACTCTGGACGGAGTGAGACGCTGCTTGATGTAGATGATGGAGAAGGAAATCATACCGTGTTAGAGCAAATTCAGGTCGTGGAAGAGCTGCTGAAAAAGCTTGGAATGATAAAACGAGAGCGAACAACCCTTTTGAAAGATCTTAAGGAAAAGGTACGCTTTCATATGTTCGTAGATTACTGTATTTGTTTAACGATAAGCCTAGGTTATGGCGGATGATATCTCGAATGTTCTCATTCTCAATAAGAAGTCCATTCAAAGCCAGGAAAATCAGATCTTTCAGCAAGAGTTGGACAAATTTCGTCCCCACCAAAATCGGCTTCTACAGATGGCACATAAGCAAGCTGCATTGATGAAAGAGCTAACTCTAGCTTACGGTGACCTCTTACAAGATAAGCGGATACGGGCGGAACAAAACAAGTACGAATCGCTGTCAAGGCAAAGGAACAGCGTTTTGACGAAGTTCAAGAAGACTCATCAAGCATTCCTAGACATTACAGCAGGGCTTGGAAAGGCTACAGAATTTTACCGGGAGATGAAGGATACCGTAGAGAGCTTGGAGAAGAACGTTGAGACATTCGTTACCAATCGACGAACAGAGGGTGCATCTCTGCTTGCTCAGATTGAAAGTGACAAGGGTTCGGCAGACGCTGATAGGGAACAAAGAAGGCTTCAGGAACTGATGGACAGGATGTCTGTCAATCCGCCAACTGGGGCACAGAAGCCGCCGGCAAAAGTACCACAAAAGCCTTCACCACTGCAAGCAATACCTGCTGGCACCGGGAAAGCGGCAACCCCTCAGCCACCAACCCCCGTTCAAATGCAAGCTACAAGCCCTCCACCGACACCAAGATATACTCCCCATGCTAGTGGGCAATATTATGCCTCACAGACACCCCCACCCCCACCACCTCCACCTCCAGCCCAACAACAAAACCCGAGTTATCCCCAGTATGCTCAACCCCAACAACTTAATGGTCAATATGGAATGCCACAAGACGTAAGGCGCGGTTCCTATTCCTATAACCAGATGGCAAATCCTATGCAGTCACGACCCACAGCGTACCAACTTCCTGGATCCATGCCACGTCGAGAATCACACTCTCATACAATGCCAGCAATGCCATCATCGCCACCACCCACACAGGGACACATGCAGTACCAACCCAGTCACTACCCACCTGGTCAGTATCAGCAAAATTACGGTTCCCATCCACAGTACGTTCCAGGGGCGTATGCACCCCCCCCTCCTCCACCAGGCCCTCCTCCGCAAGGACAAATGAATGCCAGGCCGACCTATACGCAGCAAGGTTACCCACAGCCGCCACCGCCAGGGCAGCCTGGTCACTACTACCCACAGCAGCAGCACCAACCGCCGTCACAGCAGCAGGGAGCTGACCCGTGGCAGGGGCTGTCTAACTGGAGATAGTTGTGATGATAGGATTCTGATAGATAAATTGGAGCTCTTAGTCTCTGAAATTCCCTTCAGCTGTGTTGACTGTCAATATTTTCCTCTCTGTGTCCTCCATTAAACTTTCTTCGTGAGAATTCTTGTGTCCTCCTTTGGTTGCTGTGCCGCTTTTGCTTCCTTATTAAGGTTGGGGTTTATTGTTTGTCTATGCCTTTTTTATTGGTAACTTACGACGTAGTTTTTCATTTTTTATCCTATTCTTTTTTTTCCATTGATTTTCGTACGTGGTGTGGTTGGCTAGGTCAAGATAGGTTACGAGTAGCATCGGGTTGAAAAGAATTCATTCGGACTGTACGGGTGTGCATGTAGTTGGGGATTGGTGTATAAGTACAAGTCTTTAAGTATAGCATCATGAGATACAGACTCCTGACATATGGTTCCTGCCCACATCCATATTAGTACACGCAACTGGGTTATCACTAATGAATTGGTTGAAGTGTGCCCTGCACACTCCCAAAGATGCAATATCCAAATGCTTGGGGACAAGGCTATTTAAATCTAGTCTGGTTATAATCACGAGCCTTTATTAGCCCTACCTAGATAAGTTCTGAGACCTACTCCTATGTACATCCAAAGTTCTCAGAATAAGAGCAGCGATCCTTTTATCCTGTTGATGAGTAACTTCTACGACCACACACAACCCACTCCATCAGAAATTTCTAAAGAGTGACTACACATAGCTCTACTACATCCCCACAATAAGGTACACAAAATAACACTACGGCCCAACAAGAGCTTTGCCAAATGCGCCTCAAAGCCTACACTGCCTATTTATACCTATTTACGTTCAGCTTCAAATATGGCTTCAAACCTTGAACAATTATCGAACATACCCTCGAAACTATGATGGAGCGTTTCGTGACCTCACACAGTAATTATCAACAATTAACCCCCTACCAAGTACATACATCTGTCGGCACTTGAATTCTACATAATTTAGATAATGCTAACTCTTATTTACAACAAGAGAAACACATATTTCTAATGATACCCATATCATCACCTCTTTAGTGCAAAGACTGCTTTGGCAGTCTCCAATAGTACCCTTCCTGCTTGAGCTGGTACATCAAGAACACAATCACATCTACCACTCATTCCTATCCCATCGAGTTTCCCTCCGGCACACCAGGAAATTGCTGGAGAAGGACTCACGAGCTCAAAGCCTCTGGAATTTCTAGGAAAGACCATTTGAAAAGAGTCTTTCTCAGATGGGCTGGAACCGTCCTCTCGGGCTTATAACTGGAAAACAAACATAGATACTTCTGTAAAGTTGTAAATAGCAAACAGAATAACTAGTACTCAGTACCGACGGAGGTCAGCTATATTGTTGCAAGTCCACCCGGGACACGTTCAAAGGCTGCTTCATGACCATGGCAACTTGAAAACTGCAGGCGGGTGATAGAAGTTACCCTGAACTTCTCCAACAAACCAGATCATGATTTTCGCTGGGCCTACAATTTGATATGGCTTCCTACCAAAACTTACAGGAACTTTAAGAGTCTGAGCACAAAAATAGTTTACTGTGTGTAATCACAATTCATCAACTGCCGGAAGTAGCACACATTATCCTACACTGCTTGGGAAACAGGCTGGGGAGCTCAGGGCAATATGTTTCACGCATACCAGACTACCAGAAACTCCCTTCAATCAAAGTGTTGGGGAAAGCCTCCTACTTAACCACTGGCAGTTTCAAATTCGATTACTTACCTTGCGAGGTCTTAAGCTAGCGAGCATTGACCTTTTAAAAAAATTCCCGAATACTCATCGTTGAAAGGGTTGACTCCTTCCAGGACAGTACCCAAAGTGCAAATGTCGATTTCACAGGTTGGGAGTGTCGAAGTCCGACAAGATGCGCGGTTTGCTATCAAGGGATTGTTCAGGAATAATATATCAAAAATCTAGTTGCTGTCGGCCCAGGCACTTACTCTACCTATGATCCTTGATATGCCAGCTCGAGGCTCCTGTATCTCCCCAGAAACGAATATACCTCTATTCTCGACTGCCAGCCACAACGCTGGGGGCGTCGATGGGTACCTGGCGTCAATGCTGGAAACATGATGTTGAGGCTTTTCTTGGTATCCTTTACTTTGTTCTGTTATTGTATTACTGTGTAGGATTATACTTAGAGGGCTGACCAACGTTAAAACTGTGGTCATTCTCGTTAGTATGTTTTTTGTACTTTAAGAATAAAGTTAAGTCTCAACTCGTTAAGATAGAGTACAGCTCATTCCTTGTTAGTAACATTAAAGCGACTTTAGCTCAGTTGGGAGAGCGTCAGACTGAAGTCCTCAACTCAGTCACTAAATCTGAAGGTCTTGTGTTCAATCCACAAAAGTCGCACTTTCTTTTTTTTTTTCCCTCCCGATCTTTATAAATTTTTCAATCTTTTACCATCTTTCTTCTCTGAATAAGACTTTCACAAGTTGGCAGCCCTGGCCCCTGCGTTATCCGGTGCCTGATAACTGTGATACCAGAACTGATGATACGATAGTCTGGGTTCCTCTTCTTCATTGATCTTGCTAAGTTCTTGAATTATCACGATGGATAGATAGATGCTGCGAACTGTGGGGTTTTATAGATAAATCAAAAGTGCGGTACTTAGTTTTTTTTTTTTTTTTAATCAAGAGAGCCAACCTAATGTAAATAGACAAAAAGCCGATGTTAAATGCATATTTTCTGGCATAGTCCGCTTTATTTTTTTTTTTTACGGTAACATATTAATTGGAGAGTTCAGGGTAATTAACCCACCACGCACATCCATTTCCATTTATATTTCAGAAATCAGATACTAAACATTTTTATTCTTTTGAAGGGAATACTCGAGACTATACAGCAGAAGTAATACACTGCAGCAACAGCAACTAGTCGTGCATGTACGTATATTATCGACCTCTTATGTCGTGTCATACTGTCTGGCATCTACCGGATGGCTGCATTGAAACCTGTGGAGCACGTCGAACCCCCCTCGGCCTCCTGGCCCTCTTCCTCAACTTTTTGCCCTTCGCACCCCCTGCTTTTCCACTGCCTATTGCCTTCCTGGCCTAACTAAACAAACATAACGTCACCAACGCCGTATAAAACACTCCCAACGGAAACACTGCCAGCCCCACCCTATTCTGCACAACGCCACTACCGCCCAGAATACTCACTCCCGCAGCTAAACTCCACGCCCACATCACCGCATATACGGGTAGCCTCGCCACGACCGGTAGCCCCAGTGCACTCAGCAACGCAGCTATCGTCATCGGGAACAGTGTATAGCCAATGACGGAAATACTCTGGAAAAACGAGATATGCCCACCTAGCAACTTAATCTGCAAGGTTACCAGCGCTTCCCCTAGCCAGACTAATAAGAAAGTCCCCGCAAAGACGTCAGTTGATTGAGCGTCTGGCGCGGCGATGGAGAGGAGGGTGGAGAGGGTTAGCGCGAACAAGAGAGGGCCCCAGAGATCCCAGTCATGGATGGGGATATTGTTGATGTTGAGGTTTTGCAAGTGGACAGGCTGGTTGAGGGAGTTGAACCCCCCAGACTCGAGCATGGTGGTTGCGTCGGGCCATTTCTTGGTGAGGAGGAATCGAGGGTAGAGCACGTGGAGGAGATGTAAGTAGATGGAGCGGAGGTCGCGGGAGAGGGTGGTCCAGGTGGATTCGTCTAGGGTATTGAGAGGTGCGGTGCGGTCTATGCCGGGGATGCGAGAGGTGAGGTTGGATGGGTGAAGGCGGGAGGTGGAGGAGGAACTGCCACCGGTGGTGTGCGTGGGGGTGGGGGCGTCGAGGGGGTCGTCGACGGAGACTAGGGCGAGATTAGTGAGGTGAAGGATGAAGGCGGGGAGAGTGAGGCGGGGGAGGGGGGGAGAAAGGGGGCGTACGGTCGTCTGGGTCGATTTCGACGTCGGGATCGATGTATTGGTCGTGAGTCTGCACGGGGGTATAGCTGGGCCCGGCGGCGGAGGAGGCCATGACTGAGATGATCTGCCCTCACTAATTTACCGCTAGGTGGGAGATGAAGGTGGAGTAGCGAGGGAGTGGGCGCGGGCAGTGCTGTGGTGGGGTATCGCCAAAGCGAGCGCATTGCGTGAGGTTCTCGCTTAACTGCCCCAAGAGAGAGTAGATTTGCGAGTGCGGCTCTTACTTAAGCTTACGAGAAAATTGAACCTTGCGTAACCCAAAGAAAATAAAGTTACAACTTCCCCGGATTTGAAGCAGCAAATTTACAGAAACGAACTGCGCAGTACGAGCTCAACCTATTCATATATATCCAGGCAGGATGTTCTCTGTCCCAGGGTGGAACGTCCCCACCTTCTCCCTCACAACACAAACCCTCTCCGAAGCCACCCTAGCGAAGAAGGCAAAGAAGGCCGAGCAAACGAAGGCTCAGAAGGAGAAAGCGAAGAGAAAAAGGAATGCTAGTGAAGGGAACAAGACCCCGCTGGGGAAACGCCGGGGAGTTGGTACGGATAGGTATTGGGGGGAGGAGGAGGTGAACGCAAAGAAGGTGGAGAAAAAGGTGGAGAAAAAGGTGGAGAAAAAGGTGGAGAGAAAGGTGGAGAAAAAGGCCGAGAAGAAAGATAAAGTACAGGAGAAAACGGAGGAAAAGAAGAAGAAGGGTGTGATTGTGGGAGCTGTGGATAAAGGACCGAAAGTCACGGATGAGAATCTGCAGACGCTGTATGAGAAGGTTATTGAAGGGAAAGAGGTTGGAGCAGGAGAGGGCTCCGGGAAGAAGAAACGAAAGAGGGGGAAGAAAGGCGGAAAAGGTGCTGCTGATGGTGAAAACCCATCCGCAGAAGAGCATCAGAAACAGAAAGACCAACCCATCACCTCCGAGCCTTCCCGGAAGAAACAAAAGAAAGACAATAAAAAGACAATTCCACAATCCCTCGACGACATAATCTCCTCCGCCGCAATCCCCATCTCAACCACTTCCCCCCTAGCATCCATCCCCGCCCTAACCCCTCTCCAGCAGAAAATGCGCGCCAAACTCACTGGTGCCCGATTCCGCCATCTCAACGAGGCCTTGTACACTGCTCCCTCAGCCACCTCCTTCGAGCTCTTCCGTTCCCAACCGTCCATGTTCCACGACTACCACGCTGGATTCCGACAGCAAGTCCAGTCCTGGCCCGAGAACCCCGTGGATATCTTCCTGAAACAACTTCTCTCTCGAGCAAGCGCAAAAGCTGCTCCTAAGGACCCTAAGAAAAACCCAGTGAAGGTGGGAGGGAGGGAGAGAGAGCAGATCAAACCTTTGCCAAGACCTCCTCCAACATATACATGTACTATTGCGGATTTAGGTTGTGGTGATGCAAAGCTTGCAGCTACGCTCATTCCCATCTCAGAAAAGAGGAACTTGAATCTGAAAATCCATAGTTTCGATCTGACATCCGATGGAAACCCATTAGTCACAGAAGCTGATATTGCGAATCTTCCTTTGGAAAAGGAGAGCGTGGAAATTACGATTTTCTGCCTGGCATTGATGGGCACGAATTACCTCAATTTTATAGAGGAGGCATTTAGAGTACTGAGATTTGGAGGGGAACTCTGGATTGCTGAGATTAAATCGAGATTTACCACTAGCGGAAGCGGTGGAAGTTCAGAAGCCCCCGCGCCCTCACCCGTATCCTCCGCAGCAGAAATGGGGAATAAAGGCAAAATCGGGGTTCTCAAAAAGTCCGAAAAACCCGGAGACGTCCCTCCGATCTCAGGCGACCTCGACGACTACGATCTCAACGACGGTGAGGAGGATTCCGAGCAACTGCCAACCGGCCCCATCGACCCGATATACACCCCCTTTATCACCGCCCTCTCCCGCCGTGGATTTGTGCTCAAGACAGATACTGCCGGAAATCCCCGCGTCGATGATAGTAATAAGATGTTTGTACGCATGGAGTTTTTTAAGCCCAGGCCGAGGGTGGAGAGGAGGAAGCCGGGTGAGGGGGATCCGGATTACGATTTTAGTAAGGAGGGAAGAGGAGGGAGAGGAAGTATGAGTAGAGCAGGGAGAGAGGGGATGAAGAGGGAGAAGGGGAAGTGGCTGGCGGAGACAGAGGAGGATGTTAGGAGGAGGGAAGAGAGGTTGTTGAAGCCGTGTGTTTATAAGTTAAGGTGAGGGGGTGGTTGAGTGGGGTATTGAGTGGAAATATTAAAAAATCTACTGCTTTGTGGGAGTTTCCCTTGACTGTACGATAGGTGCTAGGAGCGTTCAGTATCAAGGTGGATATTGAGAGGTGGCATTCCTTTCTCGATCTAATTTCATCTCATCTAGCTTCCGCTCGTACTTTACCTGATCTTATCCTCTATAACGATACTCAAAATGATCCTTATATTTCAACTTTGAAACTTCAGACTCCATCAGGCCCTCTCTTCCAGTTTAACCAAGTATTAGGCCGATCCCAACTTCATTCTGAGACCTGGAAGAATTGATATACAAGTACCCTTGTTTACTTAGCTTTCTTTTGGAAAAATGAGTGAAATCGATATATGTGTAAACCTTCGCTCATGCCAGATAACATAGAGCATTTACCCTGAATTCGCAGAATTCATATCAGGTGTATTTTCCTATATATAATACACAACAAGAAGGCTGAAGTAGTCCCGTGACCCAAAAGAGCTCCCTACCCCCGTACAAAGGCGGAATTGAGGTTCGAGACTGGGATTTGATGATCTGCCGATATTGGCCTGTTTGTTGGGCTCAATTCGAGGATCGCGGTAGCCGCGGCCCGGAATCGAGCCCTAATAGATAAGAACCATTAAAAGGACACGATATCTGACACGAGACTAATCGCCTATTGTGTATACGTAGTATCCGGTTACACAATTCCAACCCTCCCCAACCTCTTTCCCATGCTGCGGGTGTTACATGTATATTAGCCTCGTAACCGTCTTTTACATGTATATATGAATTATGTTAATTAATATATGCGGATAGTATAGTATCGAGCGTCAATACTACAATTGTGCGTATCAAAACCCGCACGCAGTGTAGTTCAAGGGATATCATCGCGGCAAGTCCCTGTGCCGCACTCAGCTATATACGGTTGTTAGCACAACTCAAGATAGATGAGAGCACTAGGCTCCTAGCTACCTGTGTGTATACTGATACTCTCCAACCTCAAACCAAAACCCCAGGTCCAGCTAAGGTAACCTAACTTGCATGTTTCAAGAATATCTATATCAACGATAAGCCTATCTTCGCATAGTCGGTCGAAGGGAAAGAAATATGGGAATTCAAAACGCTAGTGTCCCTGCTGCTACATACAGAGTTTCTGTATATATCGATGTCGCCCATTTACTTTTGGGGGGGGTAAGAGCCGTGGAAACCCCGAATCTGCGAAATCACAGAAAATGCCTTGCCTAATAACAGTGAATCAGCGTCAAGTAAGACATACGTGCCTTCCACAAATATATAAATATATCCGCGGAAGATGCGGGGGGGGGGAAACACCCTGTATATATCGATATCACAGGCAGGGGCCGATGTGCGTTGATTATATGGTATGGAGACCAGACTAGCATACCCATACTATGTGCGTATTACCCTTGCAATTGAGAGCGTACTTCAATTTCCTTGACTAACAAAGCCCCAACACCAAAGTATCCCTTTGCCCCACTATTAGTGTATCAAAAATTCTGGATGTATCCGCTTCAGATTATGAGAACCTTAGGAAGAAAGTTCTTCCAAGAGTAATCTTGAAATTATTTATGCCGCAAAACTTCTTGTCGCCAAGAAAGGTTGTGTGGTGTAATGGTAGCACGTATCGTTGTGGATTTCAGCTTCAACGGCCCCGATACAATCGCGGTTCGATTCCGTGCACAGCCAAGTTCTTTTTACCTTCTTCTATTTTTGGTGCTGTAGTGGTGATTGTTGAGTACAGTGGTCGTCTGCTTGAAAACTCTTTTTTATCACAAGGCATATGGTAATGGATATCTGGTTGGCGGGTTACAGATGTAGCTGTGGCAGGTATTGCAGAACGCGTTACCCTGAAAGCCGACTCATAGTAGTGCCCCTCACTCGGAACCGTCTTAAGAATTCAAAGATTTAAAAGCCGCCCCATCACTTGTTGTTCAAGGTTATAATCATCAGCCTACCCGAGGAAGACCACTATACCTACAATTTATTGCCTTTCGTGGTGACAGTGACGTAGGCTAGCTGCGGCAATTGACATTACATTACGTTTCTTAATGTAGTGCAGGAGGTGTTCGGGTCTAGAGATCTACATATACTCTCTACGCATTAGATATTTGGTGATTTAGTACACTTTACATGTCGGTCGAACATCGACCCACTATGTGCATTTGCTATATGTGATGTTTCGGTGCCCAAATACCTTTAGCCGAAATTCGGCCCATGCAGGGCCCCAGGACCGAGGGTCTTTTCAGATTTTTTAAAATCGTACGTGGGATTCTGTGGATACGGTACTTACTTACCTAGTACCTCGGAATATTCGGACTCGGAGCTCCCTAATGTCACAATCACATGTACAGGGTTTGATTTAAGTAGACGCGAACTGACAACTTGGTGCCGTGCAGAAGAACGTAGACTAGCTATTAAGTTGGGACTACACAATACACAGTTTATAGGTATTCCGCCGCTTGATATCTAGATGGGGTTGTGTGTGCAGATATACATAGGTAAAAGTACTCTACAGTGGAACAGAACCTACATGTGTGGGTAGTACAAGACTCTTGGCACCTCTTTTACCGGGGGAGCGTTTGTTTTTTTACTGCATAATGACTGCGAGGGGTTATTACGCACAGTCGAGGTGCACGGAAATGCAGGAAGTTAAGTAATCTATGTGTGATTTATTATATAAAAAATAACCTCATCATAACACAATTCAGCAATTGGATCCAGCGTCCGACAAGTGCAACCGGTCAGATGGTTGGAACCGGTCAACTCAGGAGAGCTGGTAGGAGCGGTCGGGTTCGAGACTAGAGAGCTGGTTAGGGTCAAACAAATAATAATAAGCTGAGATTGAAGACAAGCCCAGTGCACGCGAAACGTTACCCATTACAGCCAAGAGTATTGAGTTAACCCACCTAGGTTAGTTGACCGATTCTTGTTAACTCCGACAACTCCGCGGTGAAATCCTCCATAACCTTCTGGTCTCAATGAGCTACTGGTTGAGTAGCTTTACTGGATCTAAAGACAATCTACATCCCCCCTTTTCCAATACCACACCAGGTCCATGGATGGTTCATGGTCATCAAATCCTTACTCTAGGAATCCCCGCACTTAATCCAAATCCTGTATCTCCACCGACCCCTCAGCCAGTGCCCTATTATTGATGCTCAAAATTTCCTCTCAAGTGAGGTACGAAATATGAAACCTCGAGTTCTACATTACATAACGTATCATCTGTGGCGGACGTTACTCCAGCATCTGCATGTGTGTGATTGACCAATAATCCCGCTTCCTGTTTGGTCTACAGGCTCTGGGCCGTGGTTAACAAATGCGGCTACTCAAACAATGCAGAAAAGCTTGTCAATAGGTCGACGTTGAACCACCCTTTCTGGTAATTATTCCGTAAGGAGATTTCATCCGATGTTGTGGATTTTGCTCGCCAGTTAACCTGGTACCGAGCAATATGGACAAGGGCCGGCCCGCAGCAAAAGAGCATTGACATTAAGTTAACGTGGCAAAAATATCAAAATAGATGGCAGCAATGAACATGACAAACTCGTATTGAACCCAGTCTTGGCTGCATTCGGTGAACGATTTAGGTAATCGCAAAATCGCATATTCGCACTTCAGGGTAAATACAAAGTTGAAGCTGCAAGTCTCATTTGCTTAACTTAAAAAGCAACAACCACCTAGGTATTAGCAAAGAGCTCCGCTCACAGAATTCTCACCAACCATTTTGAGCTTGACCCTCCTTCTATACCTCCCCCTTTCCTTGTTGAGACATAGCAATCCAGAACCATCACTTCAGAGCCTCCGCGGAAGTTGGAATCCACAATTCCCGCCCCGCGCAAGCCGCTGGAAAATCCCCCAGTACACGCACGGCCGCATACCGGGAATCGAGAGTTGAAAAACGTTAATGCCCGGTGCGTGGTCGATCATTATCTAGGTAGACCAAGTACTCTTTCCAATTTGCTTCTTCCTCTAGCAAAATATTCCTTTTTGTTCCAACTGATACTTCCCTTTTTTTAAAGCTTCTTTTTGTTCTTCGCCTCCTGGCTGGAAGCAACGTTTTTGTTTTCAACAAGTCAAAGAAAAAGAATTGTGGCGAAAAAGCAACTTCACTGGTCTCGTAAGAGACTAATATAATAATAGCCAGGGTAACCAAGCAGCCCAACCAACATAGTCAATAAAAAGAGAAAAAAAATGGGTCACTAGATTCCGCATATCCCTAGAAAAAAACAGAAGCCTCATCAAGATCCGTAGAATTAAACCACTGTAGCATTCAGAACGCCGGGCGGATCACGCCGATATCCGTGTCCGCATTCAATATGTATGTGCATATATTGCCCCTCGAGTACGGTACACGTGTAACGTAGAGTATCCCATGATCCTTTAACCCCGCCTTAAAGCGATTGTATGAGTGACATTGACAACTGCTTTTGCCACGTTTAAGGAATTGCTTTTCATCTCTCAAGACGTAGATTCAGAATCAACCAGTCCATCTCCCAGAACGTGCCAACCTCTAGGTAGTGTGGCAAACCTACAAAGTCTGTCACAAGCCCTGATTACACCAAGTGGCGTTCATCGCAGCATCACATGCCCATCACAACCCAGCAATCTGATGAACTTACGTTTAGAAACACATGGCGCATCTCACCATGATAATACTGCACCCAATTGCAGCCCGGCTCGCGCCCAGACTAATGTCCCATCTAGAAGATCGCCGTAACGGGGATCTAGCAAGATGAAGGCTTTAAAAGACTGGACGAATGATTGGATGATAATTCCCCATGGAGAATCGAAGGCGTAGAATTGTTGAGAGCGCTTTAGATGTTAAGGGTGCTAGGATGGCATAATAGGCGATAATCATGAGGTGGTGCGGAGATGGAATGGTGTTGTGGTAATCCATGCCAACCAGTCTCTTTCCATGGTATTCGAACTGCAAGCACTTTTCTAGCTTTTGCAATATGACCTCTTGCTTCGACATGGCCTTAAGCTGCAAGCGAGCCCCAACTTTAAGAAGAAGAATTGTCAATTCAAGATGTGCACAGGTAATTGCATTGTCGTGACCCATTGACGATGAGAGGGTGGCGAGATTCCGCGTTGAAAGAACCTCTCTATTATGTAGTCCACATGAGGCCATTGTTTAGCACCTTGTTACCCTCCAACCCTCCAACGCAAGATCGAGAGTCAAGAACATCCTGGTCATGTCTCCAACCTGCCCCTTTCAGAACTTCACAATGGGTATATGTGATATCGACAATAGTCAATACCATAGATGATGTCCATAACTTTAGATCGCCGAACAAGAGAGTAGATCAAGATCTGGGCATTCAGCCACGAGAACGCCAACCAGACTACCTAGACCCATGGTCACAGCAGCATACTAGGTAGGCTGGTTGCAATACCCCTCGGAGGGCTGTTGTGCCAACCCCGTTGGCGGGGGGCTTGTGCCAACCAGACTAGATGGAAACCACTCATAGCTAGTCTGGTTACACTCTAGCCTGCTCTCTTGTCTTTTATTAGCTACCTGATCTTGGCATAAAATCAACTTTAGCCAAATCGGCGAAGTACAAACTGTCGAATGAGATTCAAGAGGTGACGTACTGTGTTTCGCTTATCTCTCCAGGCTTAGGAGTCAACATCGGTACTGGTAAGTGTTCTTGACTTAGTATATATCTACCTGAGAAGCAGTCTGTCCAATATAATTCCAAGGCCCCGTATATTATACCAGCTTGCTGGCGCCGGAGAAGTCTCATACAACGACCAATAGTGTAAAGCATACCGGAAGTAAAGTAATTATTGCGTTCTGAATGACATATCCCATGATTCACTTTCACACTGGAGTTCCAACTGATGCGGCAAACGGTCTCTAGAAACGCAGCCCACTTCTACCAAATAATACGGGGCGAATCTTACCGTAAATTGATATCTCCCATCTAAACAATATCTCAATTTTGAGCTGCTTGGCAAGCCTTGCCACAACACTCCTATACCTTCGATTTTCGTGAATAACAACTATATATCGCTAAGGTCTGAAATGGAATATGTGATAAATACAGGTAGAAAAGAACTAAATCCAAGATTTCAGGAAAATTAAAGGAAAATTGAAAACGAAGTGGAAGTGAAGGTGTGGAGCATACCAGCCCTTAGCCTCAATAACAGCTGCCACTCGGTCAGGCATGCTCCTCCACAACGACTACTGACTCCGGAATTGCCTCCCAGGCAAGGGCAAGGGCCTACCCAGCAAGCCTAGCACGTCCTGCTCCTGGCCCTCCAGGGATGTTGGCGATGTCAGGGTACTTTTATGAAGGTACCTTTTCAGGTGAACCCAAACATGCTCAAGGTCTGGGCTATAGGGAGAGTGTTTTTCAACAACAATGCCATGTCGCTTGATGAAAGAGTTATTGCATTGCCAATGGTGCGGTTTATGTAGTCAATTACCGCGACGAGGAGCATCTTGAGGAGGCGGCGATAGACAAGTGAGCTGACGGAACGAACAAACCAGGGGAACAAATGTCCCACGGCTCTTCCCCAGAAACAACCCCAGACCATCAGAGACCTTCTTAGCTGCATGAATTCTTTATCCCACTTTTTCCTCTGGCGTCGAATACCCAAATTTGCCGTGCATGTGCCGACTTCTCTCCAAATCGTACTCTAAAAATCCTCCACAGTCCTCTCTACGAGAGGCTTGT